CCCCATTCTTCTTCCTCCTCCTCCTTTGGCCTCACCGATTCCATCCCAAAAGAGTCACCCGCTTCACCCAAAACTCTGCTTCTTGCCAAACTCAATTTCCAACTTTTGTCTTCCTGCAATTTCCTCCTTTTTCTTTTTGTCTTCCCTGCCTAATATGACTTAATATGGCTCTCTAACATCATCCATCTCTCCACTGCCCCCCCGTTTCCCCTCACTCAGACATACACTTACACGAGGGGAATTGGCCGCCCTCCCCAGCCCAGACAATGGACAAAGGGGTGAGGCAGGCGCAGCTTGGAAAGCCTCTTTCATCAGGTGAGAGGTGATACGTGGTTCTGACTGTTGCTGCATCCAGCCGATGACAGCCCAAGGTGACTTTAAGCACAGGACTTAGAGGGAAGTTTGCCGTGTTCACTTTAAACGTAAAGCCACAGAGAGCAGACTTTGATTTAGTGAAGATGGTTTGCGTTTTATTACAAATTTAAACTTCGACAGTAAAGGGAAGATTGGATTACCTTTAAAACATATATGCCAGTCTGTTAATAACATTTTCACTAATGACATGACAGAACAGTGTATCATCACCCCATGAACGTAACTGCAAGTGTTAACACTTTCTGCCGAGGTGTGCAAATACATGGAACAGAACAGAAAGTTCAAGTCAGACCAGTTCAGTGGCTGTGATTTACTTTTGGACAGAGCTGTAAACCTGAATACACACACATATTACCAAACTGTTGACACACATTTTCTTTGCTCAGTTCCCTCTTGAGTTTGACATATAGTTGCTTAAGAGGAGATTGCATCACAGACACGGTTAGGGACGTTAAAGTGCACTCACCTTCCTAAAAAAAAAAGGAACACACAGTCCACTCCTTGAGTCTCTTTAACACTCAAATGACACAAACAATACTGGAAATGATTGTTCTTACATTATTAATAATAAAACATTAATATCATGTTAAATTAGCAGGTTTTAAGTTTAATAATAGTCATTGTCTTCTGTCACGCAGCAGCTAGTTGCCTGGTTGCGACTCTGTAATAAAGATGATTTGAATCCTATTAATGTTAATGAAAAATATTCCCTTTTAGAAGCAAATGCAGCCTGGCATGTGACAGGCCACCTCAGGTTTAATGGTGTTAGGCTGTCACGTAGCTACACTGCGTCATCCCTGCAGAGCCGGGAGAAGGTCTGCGATGCTGTCCACGTAATAATCTGGCACCATCCCCTGCCTCTCCGCGCAGCCGCTCTTCTGATGGGCCTCGGCATCCGCCACAGTGCTGACCCCCGTGAGCGTGAGGAGGGTCTTCAGGCCGCAGTTGGAGCCCAGCATGATGTCCGTGTCGAGGCGGTCCCCCACCATTAGGCAGCGGCCGGCGTCCACGCCGTACTGGGAGGCCACGCAGTCGAACATGAAGTGGTTGGGCTTGCCCACCGTCTGGGACTGACGCTGGGCTGCTGTCTCAACGGCCTGCAGCAGGCAGCCCGTACCTGGGAGGGGGAGAGGGAGGACCTCTTACTTTACTACAACAATTTTACTTCATGTATCTTTGTAGAGGAATCTACTTCGATTGAAATCTGAGTTCTTGTGGAGCTTCAAATTACTTGGTGAATTAGGTTGAGTGATCGCTGCATCTGCATGGGTCAAGAAATCCACTTGTTGATACAAAAAGTAATTTGGTTTATGGTGCAGACTTCTATTTGTTTGAAACAGAGCTGCAACAATTAGTCGATTAATCGTTTTTAAAGAAAAAATATCCACATTTTCTCCTTTCTTTAGTCCGTTTAGAGTCAACTGAAATTCTCTGGGTTGTGGCCAAACTAAGCATTTAAGGACATTTTCCACAATTTCCTGACATTTGATTTTATAGACCAAACATCTAGTCGAATAATCGAGTAAATGATCGACAGATTAATCAATACTGAAAATACTTGTTGCGGCCTTAGTTTGATTCACCTCAATTATGAAAACTAACCGTAAAATCAAGATTCCTCCATTAAGCTCAACAACCCCTGAATACTGTGGGGAAAGGTGAGGTCTACAATTAAAGTTACAAATCAAACACAGAGAGCATTTTTAACATTTCTGTCATTTGATGCAAGTTGGGGCAAAGCAGAGGAGCTTGTAGCTTCAAACATGTTAATATTTTACACACCTAAGAACACATTTTAAAAAGATGCCTGTGTCTTGGACAAAGACTTTCCAGGAAGTAGATTTTGTTTTTCTTTTGAGAAATGAAAGTTCTGCTACCTAGTGTTTGGTATTCTAAGCACAAAAAGTGGGATTTTTTGAGTCTATGCAGGTTTGAGTGTTTGAGGGTGTGTGACTATGTAATTAACGGTATTATTTAAGTCAAAATGTGCAAAACAGTCTTTAATAAGCCTCAACACAAACCGTAGAATCTGGGTTAGAGAGGCTCTGGTAAACGTGCTGCAGTGTGTTAATCTGCTGTAAGCCACTGTAATGTGAGCACCCAGTGAGTGTCACCCCCCCTACCTGGGACGGCCTTGCCTCCCTCCAGGGGCAGCCTGGTGTCCCTGTTGGTTCCCACAAACAGACAGTCCCGCTGGGTCAGGTACTGCAAGGCTCGGTTCAGCTTCATGTAGCTGAAATGTTCATCGAAACCCACCACCACCGCCTTCACCTCGGGATCCAGAGGCACGTTGGCCCAGTCGGTCTGCTTCCCGAATATGAGGTCCGGTCCCACCCCGGTCTGCTGGATCCCCACCGCCTCCAGCTCCTGCCTCATCGCGTTGCTCCCTATCAGGTACACTTTGCCCTCCAGCTTGCACACGGTCTTCAGGTACATGGCGGAGCAGTACGCGGTGCCGAACACCTCCTCTTCTTTCACGTCGAACCCCAGCGTTGACATTTTGTCGGCGTACATCTTCCTCGTCTTGCTGCTGTTGTTGGTGACGAAGAAGACCTTCTTGCCGTTTTCCTTGAGCAGGTTTATGACTTGAGCGGCGCCGGGGACGGCCTGGTCCCCCCGCCAGATGACCCCGTCGCAGTCAAACAGGATGCTGTCCACCGAGTCCAGCAGTGGTTTCACCAGCGCTCCGCTCAGCCGAGTACATTTGGACCCAGACATCAGGGAAAGAGTTACACCGAGTCGTTACACGCTGTCGGACGTAAAAAGCTAATACCTAACCGGCCCCGGTACGTGCGTCATTAAGGTCGGTCCCGGTACTGAATGTAAAAGGCGCACTTTGCCGCTGTGGTGAGTAACTACCGGGTTGTTTGAGTGAGAGTAGAGTTTGAACTGACCGGATAGAGTCTGACCTTCCACTGACTGCTCATCGGTGCTGCTGTAACGAGTCTACTTCCGCACCGGCTTAAAGTGACAGCAACCTCACGCGAAGACGCTGCGGTCCCACTTCCGGTCAAACTCCGTCAGCAACCTTTTTTTAGTAACTTTATTGAGAAAATATTCAGTACAAGTTACAAACAAATTTACATTTTTTAAAAGTTTCAACTATTGTATAAAAATTATATTCAAATAAATAAATGAAACAAAATATATGAAAACCAAAAACTTCGGGATCTGTTAAAACAACTGGAGTTAATGTGAAATGTCTAATTAATCTAATAGTTTGGCCAATTTATGATTTTTGAGTTGCCAATTGTAGTCCAAAACATTTTAAAATTGTTAAAAAGTATGAAATCATTTTGTGAATATAATAATTTGTATCATTCTTTATTTTTATATTATTATTCTGTTAATCACGTTTATTATGTAAATGTCATACATTGAAGTACAGTTAATGCTAATTCTGAAATGTAGGGGGGGGGGTATTTCTATGGTGGCCATAAAGTGGAAAACCCAACATGTTTATATAATATAAAAACAATTTCACAAAACATTTTATAAAATATGTCAACTAAACAGAATATTACATATAACACAACCAAACCCAAAAACGCATGTTTTATGTAATTGCTGTGCTTAATCATGTTTTATTTTATGCATCATCCATCGTTGTGCACCTTAGGGCCACCATATAATCCCAATAATATGTGAATGCTAATGTAAAGATACATTTTTGCACTTTGGCTATCAAGGTTTGTGTATTATTAATAACACTAACTACACTGAACATCAGTGTACTGCTCCCTGCTCCCCCTGTTGGCTTCACTGACCTCCGGCACAGAATCTTCTAACTTTAGAAAAATAATTTCAGGATTCAACAAAGTTCATTTTCGTGTTTGCTTACAGTCTTGTCAGAGTTTTTAACTCATGAGACCTTGTGGGGGACAGACACCAGAGCCCATCAAGTAAACTTTATTTCTCCAGTCAGCAGTAAATCTTAGGCACAGTAAACCCCTGGGAGTGGTACAGTAAATGCAGCATAACGGCACAATCAGTTGTGTTTTTTCTGAACAGGTTGTGGAGGAAAGAAAATCTCTCCGAGGTTTCGGAGTAGCCCTCTGCTGTAGTAGTATCTTTTAGAGTGGTCTGGCGCTGGATTACAGAGGTGGTCTGCTGTTGCACTTGGGTGGCAGTGCTGGCAAATGTAACCTCGACTTTTGTACCACTCATTGGCGGTCTGGTTGACAAGAGCCAGGTAGGAATGGAACAGAGCATAACCCGCCAGGAGGAAGAATACAAAGACCAGAAATCCCAGCATGAAGACAATTCTGGGGAAGGTCAGAAAGAGATGCTGGAGAGACAGAGAAAACAAGAAAATTATTTCATTTCAACATGANNACACGCTTGTAATATACAGCATATCAGCAGTACTTAGCCTCACCTGTACAACAAATACAAGACCCGCTGGCTGTTGCTGGCCGTACTCATCTATATAACTGGCTGTCAGAAGCCCTGAACGCAGCACAGCATGAAGCAGCATGTCTCCTGTCAGCAGAGCGATGTCACCCGCCATGGCGCACACGCTGAAGAGGTAAAGCAGGAAGTAACGTGTGTTCTGAGCACCGATGCAGTTGTTCACCCAGATACAGTGGTGGTCAAAACGTTGGACACACCGGTTGCAGACTCCTGAAATACAGCCAGTGTTTACGGTGAGCGCAGCAGTGACAGGTACAATATTCATTTAGTTATCAAGCCCCAAGGGAACAGAAGAGCTGGTACACCAGGTATCTGTAGTACTCACTGCAGTGTTTGGAGCGGGCCGGTTTGAGAAGCTGGCAGGTTGGACAGGAGATTCCTGGGTGAAACATCCTCTTGTCATACGGATAAATGTGCAGCTGGCCAGCCACTTTCTTCTTTGTCACAGTGCCTGCCGGAGTCAAGAGGACAGAGTCGAGAAAAAATTACTATTGTATAAAACAAAACACATTCTAGTACTCCAGTCCAGACCTTCATATGATAAGCAGAGGTCTGGTGACGAC